AAGATAAAAAATGAGAAAAAGAATTACTAACCAGATCTGAAAGTTTTATTAGTCACATAGAAAGATAGCAAATATAAGAGAATGCTTCTGGGAGATAGAAAGAGATTGTATTTGTGTGAAGACTCAGCTGAGATAAACAGATATATCTACTTATTGATGTAGCACAAGATGGTCTGTAACACTTCAAGTTTAAATACAGGAAATTCCCCAAAACTTAGAAACAAAAGCCGATAAGAAATGAGCGAAAGACTTGGTCACTTGACAGATCTGAACGGCTAGCTGCACAGAAGGATAGCAAACACAAGACCAGAGAATTCTGAGAGACAAAAAGAGATATATTGTGTTAGTGAAAATTTTGTGAAAGCTTTGAAACCAAAGATAAAAAATGAGAAAAAGAATTACTAACCAGATCTGAAAGTTTTGTTAGTCACACAGAAAGATAGCAAATATAAGAGAATGCTTCTGGGAGATAGAAAGAGATTGTATTTGTGTGAAGACTCAGCTGAGATAAACAAATATATCTCTTTATTGATGTAGCACAAGATGGGCTGTAACACTTCAGGTTTGAATACAGAAAATTCTCCAAAACTTAGAAACAAAAGCCAATAAGAAATGAGCAAAAGACTTGGTCACTTAACAGATCTAAACGGCTAGCTGCTCAGAAGGATAGCAAACACAAGACTTAAAAATTTTAAGAGACAAAAAGTAATATATTGTATTAGTAAAAATTTTATAAAAGCTTTGAAATTAAAAATAAAAAATAAAAAAAAATTATTAACCAGATCTTGAAAGTTTTAGCAATCACACAAAAAGATAACAAATATGAAAGAATTTTTTTGAAAAATAAAAAAAAAATTATATTTATGCAAAAACTCAGCTGAGATAAACAAACATATTAAAGTAGTGTGAAACTGTGAATGTTTTCGCGGCATCTACTTTCTCGGAAACGAATATTAGCCTTTCTTGTAGGGCCATGACATGTGAATGTTTGACCCCACTGCTTTCATTTTTGGCAAAATCATAAGTTAAGCCCCTCAACTAACTCTAGAATCGCTATTAAGCCTCTAGACTTTAATTGATGCATATAAGCCCTTAAACTCTGGGATCAAAGCAATTAAGCCCTTCTTCTTACGCCAACTTAACTGCCGTTTGGCACTCCGTCGCCTGGCTTTACTGCCGTTTGGGACACACCCTGTTGGCTGCTTGGATGGCAAAATATTGCCACATCATGCTTATATGCCAAGGGATTTTTGAGTTATTTGATCATTTAAATTTTTTTATTTAAATAAAGTCTAAATAAAATAAAATCATATATTTGGGTAAAAATATTATTTAAATAGAGTTTTAAATTTAAATTTAATAAATACAGTAATAGATATTAAAAAAAAATTTATGTGATTTATTGTGATTT